GCTATGCGGCTTCGCGGCGCACGGCCTGCACCGGGTAAGGGGAATAGCGCCGTCGCRCCGGCCCCGTAGATGGGATCGACACCACAGACCGGGACTCCCCGCCGCGGCCGGGACCGGGAGTCGGGGGCTGGGCGGGACCGCGACTGGGGCCGGGGACCGGAGCCCAGCACCGGCCGCCTCTCTGAGGTGGGCTGGGCCCTCCGCTGCCGGGCGGGAGCGCGGCGCCCCCTCCCCCCGCGGCCGGTTACCGGCCGCCTCGCCCCACGCGGGGCTGGGGTTCCTCCCCCGCGGCCGTTCCCGGCCTGGACTCTCCGTTCTCCCCGGGCGCTGCTGTCCGGGCCGGGCACAGCCCTGTGGCCCCGCCCTGTGGCCTCCCTCGGCCCGCGATCTCYCGAGGTCCGTACGGCGGAGGGGCCGGGCCGGGCCGACCCGGGCTCGCCTCTCCGTGTCGGGGGCTCCCGTTTCCCCCCGTTTGCGGGGCCCATCCGGGCTCTGCCTCCCCCGTGTCCGGTTCTTCCGAGGGCCGCCGGTGCCACGTGCGGCCGGGAGCGGGGCCGGGCTCAGTTTTGGGGCCGGGACTCCAGTCCTCTTGGGGGTCCCTCCCGCGGCGTCCCCAGCCCCGTCCGTCCCTGGGGACGGCACCCACCGGGGCCGGCCTCCCTGTCCTCCTCCTCCTCTTCCTCCCTCAGCCTCGGCGACACTCCCGGAGCCCTTCCCGGCAGTGCCGKGAGCCCTCCCGGGGGTGTCCGGCCGCGGCCAGCCCAACCGCGGTGTCGGTGGCACAAAGGCCCGTCCGTCACACCCCCGCCGCCTATTTTTAGCCGCTGTCGCTGCCGAGCACCTGCCCCGGGGACGCGGGTGACGCCGCCCCGAATCTCTCGCGGGACCCCCGTCACCGCCCCACGGCGGGGACACACCGGGCCCCGTGTCCCCGAGCGGYCGGAGGGACAAAGGGGCACGGCTCAAGGTCACCGTGGCCGCCGGGCCGGGGTGCTACGGGGCCCTGGCTGTGGCCTCAGCGCTCCGGCTTCCCCGCGGAGCGGTGGCAGCGTGGCCCCGGTGCTCGAGAAAGGCAGCTCCGCACCTTGTGCTGCTGGCACCGAGTCACTCGGRGGAGCCGCGGCCAGGCAGAGCCACCACGGCGGCGAGGAGCACGTGCCCGGGTCCGGTCTGGCTCCGGTTCGTTCGTGGATGGCGCAGGGGACGCGGTTCAGGTGCGGTGCCGGGGCAGGAGCGCGGCTGCTGCGGGGCGGGGAGTGTCCCTGCCCCGACCTCCCCTCCGTGCGGGCGAGACGGAGAGAGCCAGCGTAGAGGAGGAGAAACTGAGGCACGGGCAGTGCTGGCCCGCTTGTGCCGCGCCTGTGCCGGCTCCCGGTGGAGAGGCGGTGGCTGCTGAGGTGCCATGGTGGCGGCGATGTGTCCGTCCATAGCGCGAACCGGGCCGGGAGCGGATGCAGCCGCTGCCGCGGAGAGGCGTGGGGGAAGCGGCTCCCGCCCGATCGTCCGCGGCCCCGGCCCACACTGGCAGCAGGTTCCTCTTTCCAGAATGCGCGGGATCGTGGCGTTGCTGCTGGCCCCTCCGCGCTGCCGGCTGTCCTGGCCCCGTGGCCCCCGGGTCCGTCCCCACGAGGGTCCTGGGGTGTGTGTGCTGCCCCAGCCCCCGGGCAGCTCAAACAGGGTTTGCCCGTACACGGCACGACCGCGGTGCTGCGGTGAGCTCCCTCTGTGCCCTCGGCACAGGCGAGGTCACACCGGAGCACTGGCCGGCCGTGAGGCCACTGCTGGCCACACCGGGGCTTGGGGGGGCTCAGACCAGGTTGTGAGGGTTCCGCAGGGCCCAGCTGTAGTGTGCTGATCTCTCCGGTGTTTTCCAGCGGGGCAAAGCAGAGACGTGCTCCTCACAGCCCCACATTGCCTCGGAGGGCCCTCAGCCCCCAGGGGAGGGGAGCAGGGGGGCTCTGGAGGTGGTTGGCAGAGCCTGTTTGCCAGGGTTTCAAGGCTCTGCCTTGCCCATCCTGTGGGATCTGCCCCGGGGTGCTTTGGGGCCCCAACACTGTGCGGTGCAAACCCCAGCGCTGCCCACGCCCAGTGCCATCGCGATGGGCCCAGTGCTTCCCATGCAGGGTGTCCGTGGTGGGGACGTGCCTTGTCCCTTCAGGGGGACTCGGTGGGCGTCTCTCCCCGGGGCCTGTTATCTGCCGGTGCGGGTCCACCGGTATCCGCTGCCTGCAGGGCCGGGCAGGGCTATCGGGTCCGGCAGGCCCCTTCCCCCTCCAGCAGCAGGCCCGGCCGCCCTATCTCATTAGCTCGAGATTAATGAGGCTCCTGCGCTGTCTTTAACTCCTTCCTGCTCGCCAGCTCCTGCCCACAGCTCCGCTGACCCTCTGCTCTACTTSTCCCACAGGTTTGCACCAACGCCTGCCGGACACYGACCCGGCTGAGGATTAGGGACACYGGCCGTGAGAGGGGGGACCCTGAGGCTGCTGTTCTCAGAAAGTGCGAGATCTGCAAGGGAAGGGCTGATGTGCCGTGCTGCAGCTGCTGCCTGCTGAGCCTGACGAGGAGTTCGGAGCCCGCCTGGGATACTCCCCCGGACAACAGCAGCACCCCAATCCTCACAAGCAGCCCTCACGCAAAGGAGACATTGGTCCAAGGCTGAGAGCGCTCAAGGGGCACATCCCGCTCTCCTGACCCGGTGTCGATTCCTGCCCTGACACCCCGACGGCGCTGCCCTCACCGCCCCGGCAGCCCCCTCCAGGGCTGCCTCCCCCGGCACTGCCCAGCTTTGGCCGCCAGCCCCGCTGGAGCGCGGCAGCCTGCCGGGCGCTGCCCCCCGGGCGCTGCCCCCCGGGTGCATCGCCCCCCGCCCCCCCGGGGACCCCCCGCCCGCCGGCAGAGCCATGAAGCTGCAGGCGGTGATGGAGAACCTGCAGCGGCAGCAGCGCGCACGGCTGCAGCAGGCGCTGGAAGCGCGGCAGCACGAGCAGCAGCWGCAGCAGCCGCCGCGTTCCACGTCCCCCCCGGGGCAGCCCCCTGCCAGCACCCGGGGCCGTGGGCAGGATCCGGCCCCGGCGCCCTCGGAGGAGGGAGCAGAGCCYGAGAGCGCGCACATCCAGCGGGCACAGATGGCCGCCCTGGCTGCCATGCGGGCGGCTGCTGCCGGCCTCAGCCACTCGCCCAGCCCGGGGCTGTCTGATGAGAGCCAGGCTTCCGAGGAGGAGGAAGAGGAGGAGCGCGGTGAAGAGGAGGAGGATGGCGGGTACCAGCAGGAGATGGGCTCCGAGGAGGAGGAGGACCTGTGAGTGTGCTGGGATAGTTGTCCTGAGTTCAGGGAAGGGGAAGGGACGTGGCACAGTGTTGGTGGGTTTGGGCACAGCATGCTGGGGAGCCTGTGGGGGTCCTGGGGAGCCTGTGGGGGTCCTGGGGAGCCTGTGGGGGTCCTGGGGAGCCTGTGGGGAACCTGGGGAGCCTGTGGGGAACCTGGGGAGCCTGTGGGGGTCCTGGGGATCCTACGGCTCAGGGCAGGTTGTGGATTAGAGCCATAAGGATATCCTGGAGCAGGAGCTGCTGAGAGCAGCGGCTCAGCTCTGAGGCTGTGATTCCTCGTGCTGGGCTGGCACRACATCTCATCTCTGCCCAGCAGCCGCGTGGGGCTGTGACAGAGGATGCCGGGGTGGCGTTAAATTATGCAGGACCCTCGGCTGCCTCCAGCGTGCGTCCTCCCAGGGCAGGGCCGGGCCAGGAACCATCTGGCAGAGCTCCATGACAGAGCTGCTCCTGGGATGCCAGGGGCTGGCTGTGCCCCATGGAGCTGCCCACACCGATGGGCTGCACCAGGGCTCTGCTGTGTGCTGGGTGGGTGGGATGGAGAGAGAGGTGAGCCTCGGGAACCAGTGTGGGACCAAACCTCTCCTCTCTCCCTGCTTCCAGGAAGGGCAAATGGGATGAAGATGACTTTGAAGAGGACCTGGGTGAGGAGGAAGAGGAAGAAGAGGAGGAGGAGGAAGAGGAAGACTATGAGGAAGATGAAGACATGGGAGAGGAAGGGCTCAGCTCAGCAGAGGCGGTGCGGGCGGGTGCGGGATCCCTGCTGCTCCGCAAGCCCCCAGCGCCCCAGCACTACCGGGGGGAGCCGCCACGGCTGCCGGGGGGACAGGAACGGCTGCCCCCCAGCCTGGGCCACGCACAGCCCCCTCCACCAGCACCCGACCACGGCGACTGGACCTACGAGGAGCAGTTCAAGCAGGTATGTGCCCGCCGAGACGCGCGTGTCCCTGCCGTGCCGTCCCCCTCCCCGCTCCTGCGCATCCGCGTGTCCTCGCGAGCGTGCGGGAGCTGCCTCCGGCAGTGCCGCCTCCGGCAGCGTTCTCCTTGGATCCAGCTGCTGTTGTCATTAGGAATGCGTGGGATTTCTCCAGGGTTTTAGTGCTGGGCTCAGTCTCACCCCCTCCCTTTTTGGGGGGCTCACAGTGGATCCTGTGTCCGGGTTGTTCCAGCACAGGCAGGCTTGCTGCAGGGACCTGCGAGGATTCTTGCTGAATATTACAAAAAAATCGCCCCAAACTTGCAAATCTGATGGGACTCTTGGTTTTCCTYTTCTCCACCCTCCCCAAGCCATTTTCCATGGGGAGCTGGTTGTCTCCCATCATTGTCACCACAGAGGTGATGCCCAACAGAACAACTCTGGCCCTACAGWTGCTTGATGGGGGGCAGAGCTGCCCCCCTGCCATTGCCAAAATGCCATTAAAGAGTGAAACYGGGGAGAAAGCACCCTGCTGCCCCCTTCATTGCCTTCCCCAGGCAACGAGGCCGGCATGTTCCCACTCTTCCCGGCGCCAGAGCTGGCTGTGCTCTGCTCTGGCTAATAGAAGAAAATGTGCTGGAGCCGGGGCTCCCCGGGGGCCGCCCGGCACCTTTGATGTGTGTTTAAATACATTGGAGTTTGGGGCGGGGGGAAGGGGCAGGACCAGCAGCAGCAGATGGGACCCAGATGGAGCAGCCAGGGCACGGTGGCCTTTCAGGAGGGATGCGATCACCCCTGCCCCTTCGCTTTCGGGAGGTTGTTGCATCCCTTCCGAAACGAGGGGATGTGAGCAGGGTCAGAACAGGGCTGGCAGAGGAGAGTGTGACTGTGCTCCTGGTGCTGCCCAGCTGTGGGGATGGTTCTGCCCAGCTGTGGGGATGGTGTTATGGTTCCGCCCAGCTGTGGGGATGGTGGGATGCTCCTACCCAACTCTGGGATGCTCCTTCCCCGCACATCCCTCGTGCCGCTACAACCACGCCGCCTTCTCTTCTTGTGGTTTCTCTCTCTTTTGCTTCCTGCCGCCGGGGAGCGAGGGGCCAGCGCCGTGAGCTCAGAGCTGTGAAAAGCCTTTTTGATACCRCAGCTGTGATCTTCCTGTTTATTAGCGTGTCAGTGCCGCGGACCAGGCCATAGCCTCTGCCACAGCACTTGGGGACACCAGCACATCCCCTCCCCTTCAAGCACAACGGGCTGAGTCCTCTCCCTCCACGTGGCTCTTCCCGGGGTCGGTGGGAAGAGCCTGGCACGGTGGTGAATGGTGGAGGCAGCCGGAGGGGGTTGGAAAGCCTCCGTGGGCGGAGGAGCGGAGGCGCAGAGGCGACGCGCCGGGCCCCGGAGAGGCTTTCCCCGGCACGTCAGCCCGCGCAACCGCGCTTGGATCGCGGCCGCTGGACCGGGGCCAGGGGGTTGCTGGCGCAGCCGGTGCTGGCCGGGAGCTCCTCCTGGCCGGCCTCCAGCGCGTGCCGCCGGGCTCCATCCCAGCCCAGCTGGCGCGGCCTGGGAAGGAGCAGCAGGAATGTAAACAGCGAGGGCAGCGCGGGGCAGGGGATGCCGTACCCCCATCCCCGCTCCTCGCTGGGGTGGAGGCRCCTTAGGGGGAGCCCCGGGCTGGGTGAACCACTGGGGATGTGGGGCTGTGCCAGTGGTGTGCCTGCCTGCTCCGTGAGCAACAGGCTCTTTCAGGGTTCCTCTTTTCTTTACCAAGGAGCTCCTCCACAGCAGCAGCACCTCTGCTCTCCCACTAGCCCTGGTGCTTCTCCAGCTGTCCCCAAAACCACCATTTGAGTTCAGTTCTGGTCGTGCTGGTGCTGGTGCCCCTGGCATCCTTGTCCTGTGGGTCTGCATGCTCAAGGGCACCGTTCTCACCGGGCAGTGCCGCCGTCCAAGCCCCAGTGTCCATCTCCACGCCCAAACCCCGGCAGCCGGGAGCTGCCTCTGTCCTCCACCGCCAGGTTTTATTGACCCATCTGGGACGGATTCCTGTGAACTGGTGCTCGGCTGAGCCGTGGGGGGCCGGAGGGAGGAGGAGGGGGCCCGGTTCAAGGGAGGAGGAAGGGGAGGGCGTGAGGAAGAGTTATGGAGGTGAGGGAGGTTAGGGAGCCGGCGCGTGGCACCTCCCCGTCCCCGGGGACGGCTACTGCGCAGGCAGAGGTCAGCTCGGCCTGACCCGGGCGCTGCCGGCGCGGGCAGCAGAACAAAGGAGCCCCAAACGCGGCGGGGACTCGGGGGCAGTGGCTGCCGAGGGCATCGTGGCTCCTCGGGGGAAAAAGGGGCATTTTTGGGGTGAGAGGAGGCTCCCCGTGGAAAACGGCTGAAAATCCAATGAGCTCCTGCCACTGGCAAGCGGCTGCTGGGGATAAAACTGCTCTGAGTTCTGCACCCTGGCATTGTAGGGGCTCTGCTGCTGCTGCTCCTCTGACCTTTCTGTTTCATTACTGCTCTTACTGCACCCCACAAATTGCAGGAATGGGAGCCCCTGGTGCGGTGGCAGCCCTGGAGCTGGAGTTTCCGGCCTCTCTGCCCCTTTTGGAGTTTCCTGTCCTGCCGGTGCTCCCTTGGGCACGGGCACCCTGCATTCTGGTACCCCCTCCCACATTGTGGGAGCTCAAGGAATCCATCTCCCTGTGCTCACTCAGCTGCAGCAATCACYGGGYTCYCTTTGGGGTTCTCCATTTTGGGTGYTYCCTTTTTGGGGTGTTCCATTCTGGCTGCCTTAGGCTGATGTTTTAACCCCCCATTTCTGCTTTAGGAAGACTTTTAAAGAAGTCATTGTGGTGTCGGGATGAGGCTGTGCCAGCCAGGACGGTTCTGGGGCGTGCTGGTGCTTTAGTGGGGCAAGAGGTTTCTCGTCTTGGGGACATCTGAGCCGTGCCAGTGGCACACAGGCACAAAAACCTCAGCCCTTATCTCGCGTGGCGCAGTGCACCCCGAGATACGGCGTTTCAAAGTGCAATGATGGGGGAAAAATAAACCGAAAGCAACTCTGCGACCTCGGCAGGGCTGCGGGGGTGGGTGAAACCGGACCTCCCTCCCCCGGCCCCGGACCAGCCCCACGCACATGGCTGGTGGAGCTGGGATTTTCCAGGAGGAGCAGAGAGCTCGGATCTCCTCTGAATCCCCAGGAGCTGTTTAAGGCGTGGGGGATCCCCTCTGAACCCCTTTCTCCCGTGGATTATTCTCCTTTTCAAAGCCCAAAGCCAGCTGGGGGCGTGGGGCCGGAGCGGGGGCCCTGTGGCCTCTTAACGAGGGCGGGAGGGTCCATTTACTTTCTTTAAAATATTGATTAGAGCTTTATTGCATTAGCCAGCCGAGCGGATGAGCCGCCCCCGGGGAGGRCGAGGGGGCCCCTGTGCAGGGAAGGGGGACCCGAGTGTCATCACACGGCTGCCCGGGGGCCACCACCCCCTCCCGAGGCAGTTTGGCTTCCCGATAACGGGGAGTGCCCTGGGGCCCCCTCTTGGGTGCTGCTGTGCCGGGGAGGTGATTGCAGTGCCTGGCTGGGCCAGCAGCAGATAACTCAAGCAAAAAAAGGGGACCTGGAGCAGGACAGAGCTGTGGGGGCACTGGGGGAGTCGCTGGTGGACCCCCTCCCCGGGAAAAGGAGCTGTGCCTGCCCCCCACCCCATGCTGTTGTYGCCCCACAGCACTGCCCGGCTTGCYGAGGGGTGCTCCCAGCYGGGGAWCCRGCACGGTAATTGGCTCATAGTGCTCAGGGAGCATTCCCGGGGCTGTAATCCCACCAGATCCCTGGCCAGAGGTCAGGGACTTCTCGGCGAGAGCGGCTTAACCGCCGAGTGCCTCCCCCAGCCAGACGCCTGGGTGCTCACAGGTGCTGGTTCCAGCGTCCAGGCACCCTGTGAAGCCATTCTTTCCCCAAAAAAACTGGAATAATTAATGAGGTGGGGGACAGGGACATGTCCTTCCTGCCGCAAGGGTCCAGCCAGTGCCTTCATTGGGCTGGACCATGCCCCTGACACCCCTTGTCTCCCCAGCCTGGGCATCACCTGTTTGTGTCCCCCCAAAACCCCATTTCCCCCATGCCYTGAMCCCCCCAAAACCCCATTTCCCCCTCCCCAAAGCCCCATTCCCTCCAAGCCCCAGCCCCCCAGGCTGACTCAAGGGCTGCGGAGGTGGCGGCCGCCTCCCCCCCTTCTCGGCACAGCTGAACTAACAGGGATGAGGGTTTATTTAAAAGGGAAAAAAAAGGGAAAGAGCGGCGCAGGGAGCGGGGCCTTTGTCAGCAGAGCCCCCCGCCCCCGCAGCGGCGTTGGGCAAGGGCAGCGTTGCTCCATCGCCCTATTTCTGGCCCAAACCGCAGGAGAAATGGCAGCTGGTCCCAGAGCCCAGCCGGACGTGCTGCARTCGGGGGCCAGGGCGGGGGGTGGTTTGGGGCAAAGGGGGCACCCTGCTCTGAGCCCCTGGGGCATCCAGACCTGGGGGCTCAGGGGGCAGCTCCTGGCTCAGCTCCTGACCCGCTCTCTGACCCTTCCTATCGGTCACTTAATCTGCCTGTGCCTGGGTTCCCGCTCTGGCTGGAGCTCGGGATAATCCACCCCACGCTGCTGGAGGCCAGGGCTCACCCCTGAGGAGGGTCCCCTGCTCCCCACGCGTCCCATGGTGACAGTGTGTCACTCGTGTGGCACCAGTCCTTTGTGAAAAAGCTTCCCTGACCCCCCACAGCAGAGCCCCAGCTCGGGGTCTCACCCTGGTGCAGATGGCAATGGGAGCCACCCAGGCAGATACCAGCCCTAAAGGCCTTCACCTCCTGCCTCAGTTTCCCCACCTGCYTACATCCASTGTGGARCCTCCAGCTTGGGCACCATTGCCTGATTTTTGAGATTCCACCACCTGGGACCTGCTGTCTCATGCTGCCACCTGCTCAGGTGCCTCRGTGTCACTCAGGTGCCACAACAGTGCCCACCACCCCCCTTTTCCCCTCGGTG